AAAACCGTGGTCGCTTTTCTTGTGCGCCTTCAGTTGACGCCCTCGTGGATGACCCTGGGCGCCTGATTCAGAAAACGGTAAGTGCGAATAATTTTACCCTTTAGACAAATCTGCGTGTCTCATTATACCTTACGTCCCTTGATCGTTTTGACTGATAGAATATTTCTATCACCTCTTAAATATTTACTGTTTTTGTTTTGCAGCATTTCAGCTCCGCTAATCCGAAGAAACGTTTTTTCCACATAAATCTCAATTTTCCTGTCGTTGTCCGTCACTGTCACTCGTTTTCTCTTATTGATTTTCATCTGGTCCATTCTGTCTCCACATGACTGCGTTTTAACGTCACATTGCTGCACACAGATGTGACATCCAGATAAAACTGGTTGCTCTTAATTATTTATGAAAAGCATTGAAAACACACACATTTCTGATTGAAACACACACACACACAGATATATGTACAGATATGCAAAACCTTAGAATGGAACACACACACACACACACACACACACACACACACTAACATACTGTTGGTGAATGCACACACAAACACAAGCAACGCACACACACACACACACACAGATCAGGTTTCATTGTGTCTGTGCAGTAACACACAGACTCACACACTCACGCAGGGTTTGTCTGTGTGGAGGGTCCGCAGAGATTGCAGCTCTGTTGGGATCGAGTTTCAGTAAATACATCATTCTCTAAATTCAGCAGGAATAAGTTTCAAGCGATGAAATCTTACGCAAAGTGTGAGAGCAGTAATAAACGTTAACTTTTGCAGCAGTGACTCGGATTGAAGAACGTCATCACATTTTTATCTTGAAAAACAACATGTCTTCATGTGAACAGAACTGATTGAATTCTATTTCCAACAATCATTTCTTATCCGTAATAGAAAAAAACTATGTTAACATACGTTCGTCAATTTGAAGTGGCATTTTCAATTTCCGGTGCAAATCAAGCATCTAATGTGAAGTGTAATGTCCTCGCAGTAATATTCACGATCATAAGTGTCCATCAGTGTAACGTGTGTCCAGCTGAAGCATTAACAAAATGGCAAAGAGCCAGTGAGAAACAACTGACTGTACGTCTTCCCTCAAAAGCTGACTTGTGCCAAAACACGGTTATTAATGTTAAATTATTGATCATTATTGACGACATAGATACCTCATTACCAGTGGAACCTGTAGCCTTCATTCACTGGGGAATACAGTACGAGCACGTTGCAGAAATTTAAAATAAAAAAAAAAAGCA